GACGCGGTTGGGAATCGAACTGGCGACCTTCCACTCTCCGGGCGGACGCTCTAACCACTACACCATGGACGGGGTCACTAAACAAAAGAAGGCCAAAATAATAATACATGTATATTCCCATAAACCTATTGAGGGCTACAGATAAGGGGCGTACAGGTGTAATGTACGCCTCAAAATCAATTATGTACCACATAATATAAGATTTCAAGCGTATCGTGTACGCACATAAATACCTTTGTATGTCTAACATTGTGCAAATGGAAATCTATTTCGGATAAATACTTGTCAAGTTTCTTTTGCGAAACACGATTTGACACATGAGGAATCCCTTGCGTTGCCATGCAACGATATGCGTCACTATTTTACGACTGGCTAAAAACTACACTGTTCCTATTTATATCCAGTCGGACCTGACATTTTGCACATCACACGGTCGCTCAGTAATTTCTCACGCATCTTCAAATACAAATACTGTACATGGTTGGAAATAGTGATCGATGAATCGTCCAGACAAACCACATCACCAACTCGCTCACACAAAAACATGTCAGTACTCCTTCAAAATTCTCAGTACACCTCCACTTGCAATATGATATGTAAGTACACTCGCACCCAAAAGTTATCTGTAGCCCTGCCTATCTTAACCTTGAATTGGCATCTTTGTTGTCTTATTACTTTTGTTGTTCTTACATGTACATATAAATGCTCTCTGCCTCATACTATTCATTCACCTGATGAAGGAGTATGGATATACTCCGAAACTTTGTGTTCCTCATAATAAGGAAGTTGATATCCACAAACTCTTTCCTCTTTAGGTGTATCACTTCTAAATGCCATTCAAAGACCTTAAAGGGGCAGTTGGGTAGCCCAGTGGTTAAAGCATTCACTTGTCATGCAGAAGACCTGGGTTCAATTCCTGACGTGTCAAATGTGTGAAGCCCATTTCTGGTGTCCCCTTCAGTCATACTGCAGGAATATTGCTAAAAGCGACGTAAACCCATACTCAGTCAGTCCTAACTTTTAAAGACATGAATATTGGTACGTCCGAACAGCAATCAATACTTCAAACTCCCCAACCAGCACAAAGCCACACAAACACATCTGTGTTACACACACACTGTCAATCTACAAACACAATAAAACACCGTGCGGAGTTTATTAACATCCGACCGGAACACAACGACATTCATGGCATCCACTGCAACCAGTCACTGATAACCATAATCCTCGAATACATCGAGGATATTACTAGCTGACCTTTCGTAGGGACACTGGATTCATTTGTTGAGAGTGTAATCTCCGTACAAAGACTTACAACTCTGGCTGTGTAGCAGAGTCTTCATACAGTGTACAACAAAGCCTGGGTATTAGAACTGCTCTTGTGGATATAGTTGATGACCATATGGTGTGGTGTATATTGAAATGCTTTTGTTAACCTACATACTGTCATTTGGAAAGTGACAGGGGCTGACTATTTCATACTGGGGTTTCGTATGGGGATTGGAGATTTTTCATCAACTGCTATAAAAAAAGACATTTTTAAAAATAAAACTAACTGCCTAAATATTTAAGAAAAAAAAATGTTGCAACAATTTTGTTCAACATGTCTCATCGAACCATAAAATCAATTTCAATTTCAGTTTGAAGATATTAACTTCATATAAAGTCTATAACTGTATAGAATTATTAAACAAAAGTAGGCCATAAAATATATTGCATACTCACAAAAACGTATTTATCTTAACCTTAAAGGTCACATGCAACCAAAAAATCAAACATAATTAAAACACAATTATCACTTATTCATGACATATAATATACATTGCTTGTTATGAAAAAACATATAAACAAAATTATAAGCGTACAATCGCAAATCAAAAGTGCAATATTGTGTACCTGGGTTTACTTCCCAAGAAACGAAGCATGCGGGATAGCAAACCCAGTCAGAGCGGGTGGGTGTGCACTCAAGTTTAACGGCTGGTTCATTTGCAGATGCCCTCACGGCTCATTGTGTGTGTATATATAGAGATGTTGGGTTTTGTAAATACATGCTCATTTTTGTGTATAACATTTTGCAATCAACAGACATCATAACATGTCATGTGTTCAAGTATCACACCTGCCTGTCTGTGTAATTACATAATGTGACAGAGACCAAACTCGGGCCATAAATCAATGCATTTTGTTTATGGTGTATAGCCTGATTGGTGTTAAGTTCAAATTGCATGTGGTCAGTGATCGCAGTTGTGTATTGAATATTGTCATTAGCAGACAGGCAGGCAGACACACAGGTGTCAATAAAACAAGACATTGAGTTTTGTCTGTGACAACGACATATCTATATCACAGTTAGAAATTCTGTCAAGCTAAATAATGACATTGCTTTTAAGTATCGAACTGAGAAAATGATCAGTAAGAAGAACGTGTGGTGAAATAGACAAATGAAATAATATAAACAGTTTATTTACTGTCATAACATATAAAAGCTTCGGCTTGTGAGATATCAACAAAACATTAGGAAAATAGCTCACACCAAAGCCTTCACCGAAAGTATTCACGGACAGCCCGCTTCCAAGTTGCGAGAACCTATTTCACTCTTGCAAGTGCTATGAGCGCAGCCCAGCTGTTGAAACCAGTTTTCCCCGAAAGTCGGAAGGAAAATTAGTGAATCGTTTGAACTCCGATTTCGCGCGTTTTTTTTCATCGCGTTATTTTTCAACTTTATAAGTTGAATTTGCATTTTTGATGATTTGTTTTGGTAAGTCCATACCAAAAGGTATCAGAATCTGCAAAGTTGTGTTTTACGCTGCATGTGACCTTTAAATCAGCATCTTTGTTGTCTTATTACTTGTTTTACATGTACATTTTGTTTTTGTGGCATAAAATTGTTGTCTTTTTAATAATACCTTTTTTTAAAGTTTAATTCAAGTTCAGTTAATTCCTGCGCATTCTGTCACATACGCAGCCTGCATGTTCAATGCATGCTCTCAGAGCTAGCCCTGCTACCATGTGCTTAATCCCTCAGTTGGAAACGGAGCGTTAGGATACCTTTTCCCCCAGCATCTATCACATCATTTGTTCAGGTAAGCGTTAATCATAGTAAGAAGAATATTATTACTTTCAATCATTTCCTGAAACCATTTCCCCTGGCTAACAACCCAGAATCTTCCATTACATCAGTTAGCTGGTTCCTGATGATTACTCACCAAGTGACAGTTTTCTATCAGTTCCATAACTTGTAAAAGACTTCACATGGTATAAACTATGAAACTGTGCAGCTACATACCATAAACAGTAATGAAAGCTGTTCCTTATTTGTCTGATTTGTGATAAAAGCTATAAATATGTGTACGGTGCACCATAACCTAGTATTTTTTGCCACAAATTGTGGCAACTTATATGACTGAAGCTCCCATGCTTAGTTCCTGATATGAAACATGCATCTATGGTATGTGAAACTATAACTGTGGGAGGAGTTTAGTACCTGGCCGCAATGTGAAACTATACTTGTGGGTTGAGTTTAGTACCTGGCCGCAATGTGAAACTATACTTGTGGGTGGAGTTTAGTACCTGGCGGCAATGTGAAACTATACTTGTGGGTGGAGTTTAGTACCTGGCCACAATGTGAAACTATAACTGTGGGTTGAGTTTAGTACCTGGCCACAATGTGAAACTATACTTGTGGGTGGAGTTTAGTACCCTGACAATGTGAAACTATACGTGTGGGTTGAGTTTTGTACCTGGCCACTTAATGTGAAACTATACTTGTGGGTGGAGTTTAGTACCTGGAAACAGCAATGTGAAAACTATACTTGTGGGTGGAGTTTAGTACCTGGCTGCAATGTGAAACTATACTTGTGGGTGGAGTTTAGTACCTGGCCAATGTGCAACTTGTGGGTGGAGAACCTGGCGCAATGTGAAACTATACTTGTGGGTGGAGTTTAGTACCTGACCGCAATGTGAAACCATACTTGTGGGTGGAGTTTAGTACCAGGCAGGCAATGTGAAACTATACTGTGCGGTGAGTTTAGTACCTGGCAGCGAATGTGAACTTATAACGTGTGGGTTGAGTTTTGTAATGGCCGCAATGTGAAACTATACTTGTGGGTGGAGTTTAGTACCATGGCAAGGTGGTGAAACAATTGTGAAAACTATACTTGTGGGTGGAGTTTAGTACCTGGCGGCAAGGTGAAAATATACTTGTGGGTGGAGTTTAATACCTTGCCGCAATGTGAAACTATACTTGTGGGTTGAGTTTAGTACCTGACCACAACGTGAAACTACACTTGTGGGTTGAGTTTAGTACCTGGCCGCAATGTGAAACTATACTTGTGGGTGGAGTTTAGTACCCGGTCGCAATGTGAAACTATACTTGTGCGTGGAGTTTAATACCTGGACGCAATGTGAAACTATACTTGTGGGTGGAGTTTAGTAACTGGCCGCAATGTGAAACTATACTTGTGGGTGGAGTTTAGTACCTGGCCGCAATGTGAAACTATACTTGTGGGTGGAGTTTAGTACCTGGCCGCAATGTGAAACTATACTTGTGGGTGGAGTTTAGTACCTGGCAGCAATGTGAAACTATACTTGTGGGTTGAGTTTAGTACCTGGCCACAATGTGAAACTTTACATGTGGGTTGAGTTTAGTTCCTGAGGAACTGGCCACAATGTGAAACTATAACAGTGTGAGGAGTTTAGTTCTCACATTCCTGAGGAACTGGCCACAATGTGAAACTATAACAGTGTGAGGAGTTTAGTTCTCACATTCCTGAGGAACTGGCCACAATGTGAAACTATAACAGTGTGAGGAGTTTAGTTCTCACATTCCTGAGGAACTGGCCACCATGTGAAACTATAACAGTGTGAGGAGTTTAGTTCTCACATTCCTGAGGAACTGGCCACAATGTGAAACTATAACAGTGTGAGGAGTTTAGTTCTCACATTCCTGAGGAACTGGCCATAATGTGAAACTATAACTGTGTGAAGAGTTCTGTACTCACATTCCTCAGGACCTGGACTTGTTGCAGGAGATCCTCCTTGAGTTGTCTCTCCCTTGCGACCTCCACTGTCAGCTCATTTAGCCTCTGCTTTGTTTCCATGGTGATGGCCTCCTTCTCACGACGCAAGAACCACTCCTTCTCAGTCTCCACAACCTGTCGCTCTCGTCCAACTGCATCTCGCACCTGCAGGAGGTGTTGTGAAGGAATAACGACTCACATAAATATTCTCCGATACTCCACACAATAAGCTCTGTCGAAGATATTTGGTGAATGCTACATTCATAACAAATCTACTTGAGGAACATAAATATTTCTCCGATACAGATTCTTGTACCGTTGTCACAATAAGCTCTGTCGTAAAAGATATTTAAAGAAGTTGTTATCCATAAAACTTGTTCCATACTATACATCTCAACTTCTAAAATGCCACTCAAACAAATCTACTTGGTTGACCATTTTGATGATCAGGCTTTTGTTACCTTAAAGATGAGAAACAGAATATTTATCATTACCTTCTTTAAGAGACAAATGTTTTTTTTCTTAAAATGAGGATCCAGAAAATGTATATTTTCTTGGGGATATACAGCCTTGTCAGTGAATAATTGTTTTTATTGTTTAAACAAAAGTATTTGGGGGCAAAATACTTTTCCAGAGTTTTCTGGGAAAAATGCTTGATGCAGTACATCTGGCATCCTCGATAATCTACAGGGTATACGTTCCGATCAATCTCCACTATACCCTGGATGCATCTACGGCTCAAGCCGATGATTTTATTACCTCCCTTTGCTGGCTCCGCATTTTCACGGTAGCCAATCAGATAAGCCATCGTTACAACCGAGCTTGACAGTGTCAACAAAGATAGCGGTCACAGCCGCAAAAGTTTGTTCACAGTGCGACTCAGATTTGAGAAGAAAACATACAGACAAATTTAAACGTCTGAAATCATAAAAAATATATGCAAGAACTCCTTCTACCTCTTTCAGAGTACCTCTGCATCAATATATTATTGTGTTGCCAAGTTTACTCGGTAAGATAATTCAAAAAGCGAACGTGAGTTGTGATTGGTACGCTCAACTTCCCAGCGTAGACACCTGATTGGATAAAAAGCCAGCAAGGGGAGGTAATAAAATCATCGGCTCGAGACGTAGATGCATCCAGGGAATAGTGGAGATTTATCAGAACGTATACCCTGGAGATTATCGAGGATGTACATCTGGAGGATAAGATGTATCTTTGTAGTGAGTGGGCATGGTTTTGCCACGTTGCTTTTAGCAATTATCCAGCAATATGAAGGTGGGGGACACCAGGCAAAAGCTTAACATATGGTACCAATGTGGGGAATAAAACCCGGGTCTTTGGCATGATAAGCAAACACTTTTACAACTAGGATAAGCCATCACCCTCTATCTATGAATCTGAGAAAATGTACAATATTTTTACAGACTGTGAAAGAGTGAGTGAGTTTGGGTTTACTTCACTTTTAGCAATATTCCAGCAACATCAGAGCGGGAGCCACCAGACATGGGATTCACATATTGTACCCTGTGGGGTATCAGGCCCTGGTATCCAGCATGACGAGCTTTAACCACTAAGCTACCCCATAAACCCCTTTATTTTTGTGTTTGAGGAATATATACAATATATTTAAAGGTGAGGTGAGGTGAAATTGGGTTTAACGTCATGCTTGAGAATATTTGGCTCATATTTGGCGGCGTGCATATGTGTGTATGTCGTCTGTACGCCCAGACTGCTGGTGTATGTGTATAAAGATATCGTCTGCTTGTACTAGCCCAGACTGAAGCTGGTTTTATAGTGCTAGCCCACTGAGATATCATGACCTGCGGGGATGAAGCATGAATACCCCAGTCAGACACATTATACTGACTAAATGTAGCCCTTAGTCCTTGTTGTATTCCCCATTAATGCCGATGCTGGTGTATTGTAAAACAGCCAGTGACATTAAAGTACCAGTAAATGATATCTTTTAGCGTAACAAAACTTTGGTTCACATGACATTTGCAGTCAGAATTTGGATCGAATTCATCTGCGATTTTCGCCTGACATCTCTAACCACTACACCATATAGTGAGGCGTCTAAACTTTTGATGGTCTATATATTTAAAGACACCCAAGGAAGAAGTTCCTCACCTGCATGGTTATCTCCTCCTGGACTTTCACCTCCGTCTGCTGTCTCTCCTCCTCCAGGCCCTTGATGAGATCCTGCAGACGACACACCTCCTCATTCTTCTCCTGGAGGAACACACAGCATAAGGCACTTTGGAACGATGACAAACCTCATTGCTAAAACTTAGGCACACCAATATCTCCAGCAATGGTTATTACAGTATGAAGTATGGGTGTGTTTGGCGGTGGCTCGGTGGAGGGATGTGTGATGATGAGTTTTATGGAGTAGCATGTACAATGTGAATGTCACCCCCCTTTACATTTATGTACAAATTAAGTGACCCACCCTGCATGTCACATACAAAATCAATGAATGAGTGAAAATCATCATCATCCCCCTAGCCATAAATTATGAAAGACCCCTTAGGCCTTTTTTTTATTACTTTTAATTTATTACAGATCCGCCAACCTGTATGTGAAGGAAGTGGGGAAAAACAAAAAATTGTTATCACATATTTTTTTTGCCATTATATGCCGCCAACCTGATAAAAACAAAGAAAGTGAAAAAAAAATAACAAAAAAATCAAATTATACCTTACAAATATTCCCTGGAACAGAGTGGAACAGTGGAACAGAGACAGGTAATGCCACAGGCTGGCATGATGCACCTGGCACACATGGTATACTAAAAATTTCCATAAACCATATAATTAAAAAACAAAGGGCATTGTATAAACTGATTTGACTGAGTTCTAATGTAGCTTCTTCCTCAGCCACAGGGGATGCAGAGTTCAACTCACAGCCAACAAGGTGGAGTGTTCGGCCATGAGGACCGTTATCCGCTTGTCGGCTCTGGTGGAAGCATCTCTCTTCTCCTCCTCCATCTCCGCCCGGCACAACTCCAACGCCTGCTGCTTCTCCAGGAACATCGTCTCCCGCAGTTTCATAATCGCACAGTCCTACAGAACAACATCGAGAGTGTGTGAGTAAACTCTTACCATCAATGTATTCCTTCATCATTATGCCAGGGACCCCAAATTGGGCTGTACACATATTAACCACTTGGGGAGTCAAACCCTTGCAGTTGCCATGACAAGGATTTAACCACTAGGCTAAGTTACACACAGTTTGGGACAATAGGATACCATAAACTACAGATACCTTTAATATCACAGTAACAGTCTGTTTGCTGCAGTATAACACTTCAATTTACTGGTATGTCTCAAGTATAGAAATAGGCTTAAATGAACTACAGATACCTTAAGTCACAGTAACAGTAGTGTAGTGTAGTGTAGTGTAGTGTAGTGTAGTGTCTGTAGAAATTCCAGTGAAGTGTAGTGTCAGTGTAGTGTAGTGTAAAGTGTTAGTGTAGTGTAGTGTGTAGTGTATATATGTAGGTGTAGTGAGTGAGTGAGTGAGTGAGTGAGTGATTGTTGCATCAGCAATATTCAATGGTGGCTTGTAAATAATGGACACTCTCCTACCCAGAGTTCCATGCGGCAAGCCAGCATAGTACCTCTGCCACAGGCCAGAAAATGTGATTCGTCACATCTTGCAATGTCCATTCAATATAATGTACAGATTTCTTTTACTCTTAAATTTTTATGAGTATACACATCTAACTAAACATCTTTAATAGAATGGTTCAGTTTCACTGCTCCACATGCTGTCATCGAAGCTGACGGAGAGCAAACGATGCAGCCAGTTTGATGTCTAAATATGTACATAGACCTAACTGTTGTAGTTGTGGAAGAATATATATGTAACAATGTAAAACATTATGAAGAGAGCGCCAAAAAGCTTTCGTGAGTCCAGTCTCTTCTTATTATGAATATGCGTATTTGTTTACAAACAAGAGAAAAGTCCGGTCACGTGATATGCAAATTAGCCTGTTGCAGTGATGTTATGTTAGTCATCACTGGACCGGAGTGTGAATAATGGAGTCCTGGTAAATCAGAGAGCTCGAGGGGTGGTGGGGTAGCCTAGTGGTTAAAGCGTTTACTCTTCACACCGAAGATCCGGGCTTGAGTCTCCACATAAGTAAAATGTGTGAAGCCCGTTTTTGGTGTCCCCCGCCATGATATTGCTGGAATATTGCTAAAACGGTATAAAACCAAACTCGCTCACTCAGAGAGATATAAGCAAATATAGCAACTATCCAATGCATCAGGCAAGGCATCACACAATCAGTAAAGCCAAAGAGGCGGTAGACCATTCATTGGTAGTCTAGCAGCTGGCATCAGGTACTTTGAGGGAAGGGAGGTAAAGAGTGAGTGAGTAAGTTAGTTTTATGCCGCACTCAGCAATATTCCAGCTATATGGCAGCAGTCAGTAAATAATCGATTCTGGACCAGACAATCCAGTGATCAACATTATAAGCATTGATCTACACAATTGGGATATGATGACATATGTCAACCAAGTCAGCAAGTCTCACCACCCGATCCCGTTAGTCACCGTGTCTTATGACAGGCATGGGTTGGTGAAGACCAATCCTAACCCAGATCTTCACGAGTGGGAGGTAAAGAAGGGTTCAGATTCAGGGCCTAGATTTTCGAAGCTCTCTTAGCGCTAAGATAGTCATAAGTTAATGTTAATGTATGGCACTTACGACTATCTTAGCGCTAAGAGAGCTTCGAAAATCTAGTATAGCATTTATAAAGCAAATGCATGTGCGTGCCTGCTTGTGCTAACCTGGATTAATGTTAGTTTTTATACAGCTAGACAACTGAAATACCATGTCCCTCAAAATGAAGCAAGCTGTAAAAGTGAAACATTAAATATGTAGGGTACTAACAAACCAATGGTCAAAATAAGGTCCAATTATGTTTTCAAACCCATGACCAGTGGATCCAAGTGATAACAAACTGGACCACTAGGAGTAGTATACACAATGGGGCTACGGGACCAGGCCTCTCCCTGGACGACGACCCGGGGCAAACTGCTGAGAGATGCGTTTCATTCACTTTCAGACAGCTATAACCTCGCTAGTCAGCCGACCGTGCATCAGCATAGCCGAGCCGAGAGACACACTTATACTAGTCCACGGCGCTTGCTCAAAGCAACTCCTGAGACGGTAGCGAGGTGATGACTGCCGAGACCTGCGTTTCATTCAGCTAAAAACACCTTTCGCCTCGATAATATATAACAAGTACGACAATACCTTGGATTGTTAGCCTTTTGCCACACCGACCCCATGCTCACTAAAAAGTGATTATTTCCTAAACTATTTGACCAATTTTGAAATTTTGCATGCATCTCGGCAGATGGTTAAGCTATAGCAAAACGGCATTGGAAACACTCTCGATGACTTCATTAGATTAATTAAGACTTAATTACGACAAAAAGTTGGACATTTTGCCTTTTTCCGACTGACCCCATGCTCACTTAAAAGTCACTATTTCAGAAACTATTTGATCGATTTTCATCAAATTTTGCATGCACCTCAGTAGTAGTATACACAATGGGGCTACGGGATTAGGGACTTCCCAAGTGCTCAATTTAAAAATTGAGCCCTTGGGGGGTACCTGGTCTCTTAGCCCCATTGTGTATACTACTCTAGGCCATTAACGATTAATGTAACATTTGTACACATATATTGATTTTATCAGATGATGGCTGCTGTTTAACAAACCAATCTGATGAATTTGGTATTGCTATTTGATAAATATGCAAATGAAGTCACTGAGCACAGAATAGTTCCATACACTGATACAGTAGCTGCTTGTTAAATAAACTATTGACCATTGTTCTCAACACATTCAGGGGATTCCTGAAGTGTGGATGTTCCTGTAGGAAACATGGTGGCCTATCATTTTGCACCACATGAAAAATGAGGCAGTTCATTCAAACATTGGACATAAGATCTTTCTAAAGTTCATTGTGTGAACTTTTGTTTGTTTTCATTCCCAGATGTGCGATTATGATACTGAAACATGCTTATACAGTAGAACACGGATATAACAAACTCCAAGGGACCAAGAAATTTAGTTCGCTATATCCGTTGTTCGTTATTCACATTTGACCGCCATCTTTGATTGTAGAGATGTAGACATTCTCAGACATTACCTATATCATGTTGATAAATATGAAGTTTATTTTTATAATAAATTGAAATAATACAACTACAACTTAAATACATTTATTTTTTAATGAAAATGCAAGCTTACATTTATAATGTCCAGATAAACCACGAAAGAAGCAAAAACTGTAGCGATTTTTTTCCCATTTGTGACATGTCATAACATGCCCGTGCCTTTTTCTTTTATATTTTTTAATTTTTATGTAATCAGGCTTTCCGTTCGTTAACAAGACACAACAACGGGAAATACCTCCGTTGCTTCGTATGTATAACATGCGAGGCGTATCGTGTGGTGTCTGGTATCGTTCGACAGCTCTGGAACTTCAACAATATCACTGTACCCTTGCCGAGAGTATTTTCACAGTTGTAAAAAGCAATTTTATTGGATAAAGATTGGTTTCTAATGACGCTTTTTCGCCACAGTCTGCTATAAGGATCGTGATTGGTCAAAATCAGACACGTGACCTAAGGCAGCCAAACATACTACGGCAATGGATACCGTCCTCGTCAAACACAATATGTTTGTTTTGTTAATTAATTAATGACCATCAAACAATGTTGATTCACCGCCAACAAGATTGATGTATACTGTACCGCTAAGTGGCTGAGCTGACACTGAGTGAGTTCGCTAATCACCTCGTTAATTGGGTCTTGGGGGTAGTAAATCAGTTCGCTATAGCCGTTAATTCGCTACTCACGAGTTCGTTATTCACGTATAATTTCAATGATATTATAAAGGACTGTTGACGGGACTTTTAAATTTGTTCGCTATATCCGTTTGTACGCTATATCCGTGTTCGCTATAACCATGTTCTACTGTACAATAATGTCTCTACTTACACAATCTGAATTAAATCAGATATTTTACTGTGATATGATATCTCTGTGCATTAAGATCCCAGGACATCTCCATAGACATTCAAGTCAACAACCTTTGCCTTCCGAATCTAAACGAAACATGCAATGGTTCAAAGCCAATCAGATGTCAGTTGTCTGGACAATCTGGCTATATTTCTCTGCACCAAAATTTAGAAATTTCCATTTTGACACGAAAGATCAGATGTCTTCAATGGTAGTGTCCCATTTGCATGTATACAGGCAGTGTGTGAAATAAGCCAAAAACCCAGCCAGACATCTGGGCTGGTAACTTCAAAAACTTACCTGCCCAGAAGAGATTTAACCAGTCCTTCTTAAATACTATTACTAAATAGACAGTGCCAGTGGACACGTTATCTGAATATAATTTTTCACCCGTCCATCGGGCTGGCTAGCTGTAAAATTAGACAGTCCAGCAGAAATCTAGCCCGTCTTGGGCGGTTGGACGGGCCTTATTTCATGCACTGATACAGGGTGTATAGAGTATCAGAGCAATATAATTACCAGCCCTTCATTATGTATATTTAGGGAAAGGTACTTTCAGCTCACTTGTTCTCAACAAAAATAAGACATACTGGTCTAGATAATTTGCTCATTTGCACAGAGCGGTAATAAGCCTTGATGCCAAGTAAAATATAATTCGTTTGAACCCAGCACCTGTTGAGGTGGTCCACAAATTTGGGAATCAAACCCAGGGCTTCAGAGCGATGAGCGAATGCTATAACCAATAGGCCAGCCCACCACCCCTGTCACAGATAGTTATCATAATGGAGTAAAGGATGTGATTTAAATGTCTATTATCAGGACATATACGTGACAAGGTAACAAAACAAGCAAACATAAGAACACCCCAAAGCATGTAGACAAGCACATACAAGAGACAGCAATACAGACTTGCAGTTACATTTGATTTCATTGGATACCGATGATTTGCTCACTAACACAAAATCTAATAATTTCAACAAAAGCAAATTTTGCACAGTCACATGAAATAAACACACCAACTCTGATGATATGTCACATAATTTTTGGACACCTGAATAAAAAAGTTGTTTAAAGAACGATCATTATTTTGTTGTCATTTTTCGCAATTTATTACAAGGGGGACGACTTGCTGGTAGGACAGCCAGATAATCAACAAGAGAATGTAGTGAAATTTCAGTTTCACATGTGCAACTCGCACACACCCCTGGAACCAACCTGTGTTGGAAAGTCTAAACCCTACTGATTAACATTTTGATTTCCAAACTGCTTATCTAAAATTGAAACCATAAAATGATTACAATTCATTGATTATACAAAATGAGGTGTTCTCTATAATCCCAAACAACCAATGAACGACCACACAGAGGGGAGTGGTTAATCCTGCTAAACCTAATTGACCCGGCACTAATCTTGTTGACACATTTACTGGATGCTTGGATCATTATGGTATTAGAAGTGTTGACTCTGGGCTAAATCTTTGAGCCTAATATAGGTGATGAAATAGTTACTTTATAAAATAAATCAAAGCAATTATTCAACAGTGTAGATATAGTTGTGATCATACTGAAAGGGTGTCTAAGAGATGAGTCATTATTACCTTAGGCTAGGATATATTTACAAACATCTTTTAACCTATGTAGTCGTAACTTATAGCTTTTCCAACAGTATGTCTGCGAGATGAGTTTTAATTACTTTCGACTGGAGTCTTTCTCTAAACTATAACTGATCATGATGAAACTTAACTTCTATATTTAAATTTTCCTAAGGCCAGACCAGTTGTATTTCTTGTTTTACAGATTTCTTTCCTCAGAAAACCGAAAGATAGGAGGGAAATAAAATAAAAATAAAATCACCAGTCTAAGTAATATTCCTCCTAAATACTAAAAGTATTTCACTTTTGGCAATTAAGGAAGTGTATATAGGGGGAAAAAACAACCTTAAAACAGACTTTCTTTTAAGTTTACATTTTTGGCCAATAAAAACATTAAGATTTATTATTTTAGTGGGGGAAAATAATTTAATTTTTTTTCTTAATTCTTGAAAAATTACGACCGGCAGATCTGTAAAACAAAAAATAACATTGGTCTGGCCTAATTATAATATATGAATCCTAATATATTGCTTGTAGTGGTAATAATAATGAATTTTTGCATGAATTGTTACTCCATGTTACAGCCCCTTATTTCTGTTATTTTTTGTTTCTTGTTAAATGTTGCAGTCAGCTATACTAAAGACAGCACAGGGCCCTTTAACGCCAAAAACTGTCATGAAAGTATACTCTGTCGTTGAGGGAGTCTTAGCACTAAGGCCCCTCAGTGACAGAATATACCTTGATGCCTGTTGTGTTTGTGTTAAAAGCCAGTGCTAAGATGCCATCAGTGATAGCATATACCTTGTTTTTATGTAAGCATATTTTTCTGGCTACCTGATTGGCCTCGTGATCTCGTGAGAAAAAGCATATTGATTCCAACCCAGGTCCGAACAAAAGTCATATTGACTTGAGTTACTAAAAATAGATTTTTTCGTCAAGCTATGACATCATTCTATAGTTTACATGTCACAGTATTGTTGACATAATGTTTTTGGTTTGTGGTGAAAATAAAATTACTTTTCTTGACTAAATGGACATGTTTTGGTTCTTAGAAGCTTTTTTTCGGTAATTACATAATAAAACAATTATGGACTGGTGAATGCGGTCAATACCTGTTTTTATATTGCCATATTTTATATATACCATAAAAACAGGTATTGACCTCATTACCAGTCTATAATTGAATAATGTGATTCTTTTGCATCACAAGCCCTGTAAAAGACAACTTATTGAGCAAATATACATTTTTTATTATGGGAAATCGACCCGAAATGAATCCTCAGAGTTAGTAAAACATTATTCTCCAGACAGAAACAGGTAAAAAAGCATCATGTTAGGAACAACAAAATATTTAAGCAGTGACATTGTATTGCATCATAGCAGGCAACCTGAGAAAGGTTAGGTATATATATATGTATATGTCAGTTGAGGAGATTATATAGAAACACTTAGAGGTTCACCAAACAAAATATTTTCATTCAAAAAAGAAACTTGGACTTACTTTCCAAATATTTCCGGACTAGAAAACAAAGCTCAGAATCACACATCTACATTGACCTAAGCAATCTTGGCACAGTGGTAAAAATATTAAATGCAGCGACAAGTTTATATCATTGTACACATCTAAGCTCAAACATGCCGCGATACAGAAAAGCTGTAATAATCTACATAAACAATGACCTAAGCACACACTATATATGAGAAAAATGGCTACAAAGAGATAAAACGAAGAAACAGTTCTTATAGAGCGGTCAGAAAAAAATATAAGGAGAAAATGACAAACTTACTGTATTTTCTTTGAAGAGTTAGATATAGTTAGGTTGTTTAGAATACAGATATCTGGATAGTGATATATACTATTCTGGTTCCATTCCACAAAACCATCTTATGACAATCATAAGACTACTGGCACAACAGGATAAGTTGAGCACCGACCTGACAATTTACCTGTATTAGCATGTATGAGTGCCACACTGGCGCTTGCCATTGTTAGCGAAGGGGCCCCAGGTTGTCCGCGATCAAGTGTTGTGCGACTTGCTACACCGATGTGAGAGTCTTATGAGCAAGGCATGTGCAGCTACGAGCAGAATCAATTTCATCGTCATGCAATGCATGTGCACTAGCCTACATCTGCTCTACCTTTCACAAACCAAATGGGTTTGGTCATTGCCGTGCACCGCTTACTTCTGGTAAATGCGTTCTCTGCGCTGGTCCAACTTATGCTTGTTTGCCAGTAGGCATAGCATTGGGTGAGTGAGTTTTGTTTTACGCCACTTTCAGCAATATTCCTGTGATATCCCACTGTGGGGAACACCAGAAATGGGCTTCACATACTGTACCCATATGACCCGTGAAGGTCCAGGTTAGAATGAACCTTCAGTAACCCATGCTTGTCATAAGAGGCGACTAACGAGATCGGGTGGTCAGGCTCGCTGGCTTGGTTGACACATGTCATCGGTTCCCAATTACGCAGATCGATGCTCAGGCTGTTGATCATTGTATTGTCTGGTCCAGACTTGATTTTTTACAGACCGCCGCCATATAGCTGGAATATTGCTGAGTGTGGCGTAAAACTAAACTTACTCATTGTGCCCATATGGGGAATCGAACCAAGGTCCTGTTTCACAAAGCAATCTTAGCGCTACGACCGTTGTAACTCTGCTGCTGTAACTGTAATGATAGCTATGATCTCTTTGTGAAACATGGCCCTGGACCTTTAACCACTGGGCTACCCCACCACCCCACACTATGCTTCAATTTGACAGTTAGGACAATCTTTATGCTGAGTTCAGTCTATGGAACAACATCCAGAACAACGTTCCACAAACTGATTTTAGAGCTATGACAACCATAATGGTCAAGTATGGGTGTTTCAAGTACTGGAATCTTGGGGGCAGTGGGGGAGCGTAGTGGTTAAAGCATATGCTGAAGCTGAAGGATTTCATGGGTACAATATGTGAAGCCCATTTCTGGTGTCTTCCTGTGATATTGCTGGAACATTGCTAAAAGTAGAGTAAAACCAGACTCACACACTCACTCACTCACTCAAGTATCTTGGGATAAAGATTGCTTTCTGGAATGGTCACAGATACATCCTCAGTCTAAATGAAGCAGGAGAGTCTGGTACAGACAGGTATTGTTACACTAATGTCTAGACAGCAGGACTTTGGATTAGGAAGAGCAGACAACTCACCGTTTCTTTCCTGAGAGTCTGGAGGACTCGCTTGTGGTCCTCTGCAATGGCGTCCCGAGCATCCTTCTCCTTGGCCAGCTCCTGCTGCAGCTCAATCAGCTGATCTCTGTGGGGGACAGAAGTCACATCAGCAGGCAACTCAACAAAGTTGACATAACTCATCATTCTGACCCAACTTGTCATTATAAGCATCTCTTCACCTCACTCTGAGGTCACTATTGTCCGTGCTGAGCTCATCCTAAATTGTAACTAGCATCTCTTTACCTCACTCTGAGGTTACTTTCATCCTTCTCATCCTGCACCTGCCCCAGCTTGTCACTACCATCAATTACCTGACTCTCAGATCACTGTCATCCTTCTTGTTGAGCTCATACTGCACCTGCCCCAGCTTGTCACTACCATCAATTACCTGACTCTCAGATCGCTGTCATCCTTCTTGTTGAGCTCATCCTGCACCTGCCCCAGCTTGTCACTACCATCAATTACCTGACTCTCAGATCACTGTCATCCTTCTTGTTGAGCTCATCCTGCACCTGCCCCAGCTTGTCACTACCATCAATTACCTGACTCTCAGATCACTGTCATCCTTCTTGTTGAGCTCATCCTGCACCTGCCCCAGCTTGTCACTACCATCTCTTACCTGACTCTCAGATCACTGTCATCCTTCTTGTTGAGCTCATCCTGCACCTGCCCCAGCTTGTCACTACCATCAATTACCTGACTCTCAGATCGCTGTCATCCTTCTTGTTGAGCTCATCCTGCACCTGCCCCAGCTTGTCACTACCATCTCTTACCTGACTCTCAGATCGCTGTCATCCTTCTTGTTGAGCTCATCCTGCACCTGCCCCAGCTTGTCACTACCATCTCTTACCTGACTCTCAGATCGCTGTCATCCTTCTTGTTGAGCTCATCCTGCACCTGCCCCAGCTTGTCACTACCATCAATTACCTGACTCTCAGATCACTGTCATCCTTCTTGTTGAGCTCATCCTGCACCTGCCCCAGCTTGTCACTACCATCAATTACCTGACTCTCAGATCGCTGTCATCCTTCTTGTTGAGCTCATCCTGCACCTGCCCCAGCTTGTGGTTAAGCTCCAGCACCTCCTGCTGCAGCACCTTCTTCTCTTGTTCCGCCATCCGCTTGTTCTCCCGACTCTCGCGCTTGTAGCGAGTCTTCATCTCCTCCAGGTCACGGCTCTTCTCCTGCAGTCACAGAAGTACATAATTGACCATGTTATCGCTTCTCCAAACATTTCAGGCATTCCATTTTCTAGGATCTATCAAGTTTTAAGTCATGGGAACACTCAGTATTAACCTTTGGTTTGCCTGGGATGAATACTGAACACCTGGGTTTGCTTCCCAAATATGTGTCATGGATACAATGAGTGAAGCCCATTTCTTTTGTGCCCTGCCTTGATATTGCTGTAATATTGCTAAAAGTGGCGTAAAACTAAAGTCATTCATGGTATGAATATGTGGATCCCCTGCTGGTGACATGTTGAGGGTTAACATGATTCTGTCAAAATTACCAATCTCTGCTGGTGACATGTTGAGGGATAACATGATTCTGTCAAAATTACCAATCTCTGCTGGTGACATGTTGAGGGTTAACATGATTCTGTTAAAATTGCCAATCTCTGCTGGGGACATGTTGAGGGTTAACATGATTCTGTCAAAATTACCAATCTCTGCTGGTGACATGTTGAGGGTTAACATGATTCTGTTAAAATTACCAATCTCTGCTGGTGACATGTTGAGGGTTAACATTATTCTGTTAAAATTACCAATCTCTGCTGGTGACATATTGAGGGTTAACATGATTCTGTTAAAATTACCAATCTCTACTGGTGACATATTGAGGGTTAACATGATTCTGTCAAAATTACCAATCTCTGCTGGTGACATGTTGAGGGATAACATGATTCTGTCAAAATTACCAATCTCTGCTGGTGACATGTTGAGGGTTAACATTATTCTGTTAAAATTATCAATCTCTTATCACTTCATACACTGAGGACCATTAAGCTGGTTCTAAATTTCAATGTTTGATTGAAGAAAATTGTTAACAAACACCCTGAACATTACCAGAATCAAAATGTCAGTTGTATGCTATGCAAACTAGTCTTCTGATAAACATAGCATTTCAAACAACCATGCATACTTGCCTCCATCAGAAATTTCATGAAAATATCTTGCAACTACAGTCAAATCCCGATGAGTTGAATCTCTGGGGACCAAGTAATACATTCGACTTATCAATGTATTCGAGACATAGGTATGTCTATGAGGGTAGAAAAAAAGATGATCCAGTCCTAATTCCTCCGCCTAAGCATTTGTTTATCTAATGATTTCCCTATCACTAATAGGGGCACCTTATCAGTTCCAGTCTGATTAGCACAGACAGTGATTTCTGTAAAATCACTAATCTGCCTTTTGAACTCACCCGTCAAAGGCGGAAAGGTGTGAGCCGCGCTGGTTTGTTAATTGGATCAGTTTGCTACACCAATCAACTTCTCATTGACTGACTTCGGCTTATGTATACAAAATTGCTGTTGTTTGAATCTCATGGGACCAAATTTTCTTCTCGTGTCATCGTGTGTATTTATGAGACGAATTCGTGTAACCGGTATTCAAATGATGACAACTATAACAGGGAATGGTTGGGACCGACAGGTACTTCGAGTTATGCATAATATTCGAGACACCGGCATTCGACTCATCGGGATTTGACTGTATGTGTATGCATAAAGGATGTGATATTTTGTGAATGGTAAATTAGGTAAGACAAGGATTAAGACACTTTGGGACTTAGCTGCCTCAACTGCTTTTCTTCCTTTGTTAAACAAACATGGGTGGTGGAGTAGTCCAGTGCTTTAAGCCTGGATCACCATGGTGAAGGTCTGGGTTTCATTCCCGAAAATGTGTGAAGGCCAACCATGATGTGTCATGCTGTGATATTGCCAGGATATTGCTAAAAGGACACGTAACAATGCTCGGTTTCTGTTTTTCATGGATGAAGTACCTGTATAATTTCATCCTTGGACCTCTCCATTGTCCTGTAGGAGTTCTCCAGTGACATCAGTTTGTGATGGACATCGTCCTGACTCCCCTGGGTCTCCTCCATCCTCCCCATCAGTGACTCCACCTCCTGCAGCACCAACACCACATGCATGTGTTGCCACCATCAGGCATTGTGCCAACAATATCACACATGATAGCTTAATGTGGCTACTCATATCACAGTATCAACTCTTTTACAAATTGACAGCACAGGTTATGCATAGAGGAAAAGTTCATTTACTTCAAAGCATATCTCAGCTCACATATGCAAATATCCTTAAAATATAATACTTGAGTATATATATCTTGGCAAGATATTTAAAGAGCAGCCCTAAACATAAGGAAACAGGGGCTTATCAGGATTGTTCTTTAGTTTGTTGTTGAACACCACTCAGCAGTATCCCAATTATATTTAGGTTTATTTTCACAAAAAACATTTTGATGGCAGTCCTGTTGAATAAGTCTGAAGACAGTCTGGACTGAAAGTAGCATAAAGAATCAGACAATGCAGTGATCAACATCATTGAGCATCAACCTAGCGAAAACAGCTGTGTGTTGTGGTCATGGGATCGTGACAGATGAGTGTTTGCATGTTCTTATATCATAACAACCTTGAACAGGAAGTAAGACCTAACTTTAAAGGGGAGATAACTCACATCTTGCAGTGCTTCCTTCTGCATCCTACTCTGCTTCTGCTCGTTGAACAGTTCCTCCTTGGTCTGTTCCAGCTGCCGGACCAGCTCATCCCTCTCCAGGTGAAGGCCGTCCGAACCCCGAACCTTCACCAGTAGGTCTGAGTTGGCTTCCTGCACTGCTCGGAGCTACAGCCATACGTGAATGTCAGATTTTTTGTTTAGCAGTAATTGGCTTTTAGAATTGGGCAATATTCTTACAATGTCTGTAGTTGAAAAATACAGTTACTCTGAGTTACCATAACTATGGCCAAAATAAAATTTTATATGAAAGTCTTAATAAAAAATTTGATCCTCTCTGCCCTCATGATTACAACAGTTTCCTCCTTAAATGACTGACTAAATGGATATTTCATATTGAACTGACCCAAGACTTATCTGTTTATTATTGTAAGAATAGCTCGTGTCTGCTTCAACACTTTGCTATATGTCATGACCTTGCAACAAAGTGAACTGTCACAACCTCAATAAATAGAATGTCTGATGTCTAGCTACCTCTTCCTTGATCGCTGCTACAGACTGGATGTCCCGCACTTCACCCTGCTTCACCTTGATCTGACTCTCAAAGTTCCTGACCTCATTCTTCTTCCTCTCCACGTCCTCCATGACCCGTTCCAGGTCCTTCATGGCCGTCGTGCGCTTGAACTCTGTCAGCATCAGCTGGGTCCTGTCAACAGAGTGAGTGAGTTGGGTTTTACATTGCTTTTAGCAATATTTCAGCAATATCATGATGGGGGATTCGAACCCCGGTCATCGGTGTGACGAACAGATGCTCACTAGGCCACCCCACCGATAGAAGAATGCTTGTGATGATTGTAACGTGTTAGGGTTGTGATGGATGTAGAAGGGTTGGGATGAGAGATAGGTGGATATGAAGATAGAAGAATGGTTGTGATGATTGTAACGTGTTAGGGTTGTGATGGTTGTAGAAGGGTTGGGGTGACAGATAGGTGGATATGAAGATAGAAGAATGCTTGTGATGATTGTAATGTGTTAGGGTTGTGATGGATGTAGAAGGGTTGGCATGACAGATAGGCGGATATGAAGATAGAAGAATGGTTGTGATGATTGTAACATGTTAGGGTTGTGATGGTTGTAGAAGGGTTGGGATGACAGATAGGTGGATATGAAGATAGAAGAATGCTTGTGATGATTGTAACGTGTTAGGGTTGTGATGGTTGTAGAAGGGTACGGGTGAAAGATAGGTGGATATGAAGATAGAAGAATGCTTGTGATGACTGTAACGTGTTAGGGTTGTGATGGATGTAGAAGGGTTGGGATGACAGATAGGTGGATATGAAGATAGAAGAATGGCTTGTGATGATTGTAACGTGTTAGGGTTGTGATGGTTGTAGAAGGGTTGGGATGACAGATAGGTCTTGTTACATTCCCCCACTCCATCTCACAGCCACCTACCTGGCATCCTCGGACTTCTCTCTGGTGCCTTTCAGTGACGTCTCTGCCTCCCTCAGTTCCAGCCGAGATGCATGGAGTGCCTGGCGGAGTGTCTTAATCTCATGTGTCAGTGCCTGAAGAAACACAACACTGTCAGGACAATACTATACCAACAGCATTCACTTTTGGCTATTTCCATACTATGAGACCATAGGGTTTAAGAAACACAAAATATCACAATAACAGCTCAACATATTAGATCAGAATGATGTTGGTGGTAGAAGCTAAGAAGATTCCTTCAAACTGACTTTGCCTCATTTCTCTGTGTGTGTGTGTGTGTGCTTGCGTGTGTGCGTGCGTGTGTGAGGTGGTGGTGTGCATGTGCATGTGTTTTTGAGATTGAGGGGCGGGGTGAAAAACTGATACAGTTCTCTTCTTCAAATAAGTAATTACTATATTTGACCATTTTGGGGAACTTTTCATTTCTTAAGGCTGAGGGAATGAAAATTGTTTGATAAAATGAAGAGCGAGGGCAATACAGATAATGAAACTGATGAAGACAAACCAGTTGATTTGATTTGAGTGACTTGAAAGGCTGGGACTGCCATTTCACTCGAGTTAAACTCCAGATATAATAACACTCAGACCTTTAACACCACAGATGGGTCATTGGTATTACTTGCTGTTCCACTGAGAGATGTACTAAAACCAACTACAAACTATCGAACTTAACCAAGGAAGCCAAACCATTGCAGAAAGCAGTGGAATTCATAAAATTTCATTAACTTAGACACATTCGAAGAAACTCAAAAGAAATATTACAAATTCTAGGGGACATATGTAAATATATCAGGGTTTTCCAAAGCTAATGTTGAAACACTAATCATCTTTTTACAAATGATGATTTCCTATTAAACCCCTTCCATGTCCAGTTAGATTTATGCAGGGTTTTGTTTGAATTTCTATTTGTGCTAGCGTCATGAGAAATACAATAAGCCCTGTAGTAAACTGTCATCCATTTTTGAAGAAAAGCAATTAATACTATATATAATTCAGCAGTTCTAGCTACTTATATTCATCTTGTGAAATCGGTCATCATTAGAAAAGCAAAATCAATGTTCAGTAGGGAAATATATTTATTATAAAGATTTCATAGATTTGATGTTAGGATTCTAAACACTGACTGACTAAATTTGCATGGCATTATAGACCTCTAGTTGGTTCATCCCTCAGCTGCAGCTAGTCTATCAGTCTCACTAACTAGTCTCTAACTACAAACTCAGTGGGACACACTTACAACTGCATGTGACTGTTTCTGTAATGAACACCACAATATCAAATCTCAACAATGACTGAAAAAATGCTGTATCCCCAAGTGTAATTTTGCCCTGAACTATTAAAATAAAAGCACAAGGATGCTTGGACAATATTGTGACTGATGTGGCACTGGCATATTGCAATTGATTCGATTATGTTTGGGTAAAAGCCTGCGGCATAAGAATGAGTGAGTGAGTGAGTTTAGTTTTATGCCGCACTCAGTAATATTCCAGCTATATGGCGGCCGTCTGTAAATAATCGAGTCTGGACTAGACAATCCAGTGATCAACAGCATGAGCATCGATCTAGGCAATTGGGAACCATGACATGTGTCAACCAAGTCAGCGAGCCTGACCACCCGATCCTGTTAGTCGCCTCTTACGACAAGCATAGTTGCCTTTTGTGGCAAGCATGGGTTGCTGAAGACCTATTCTACCCTGAAACTTCATGGGTCGTGGCATAAGAGAGGGTTAACATCATTGTGCAATCTATCTTCCCAAGATTAAAAATTTGGATCAGTTTAGAGAAACAGTTTCCCTGTGACTTGCTTGACAGTAATGAAAAACTGATGTTACTATGGATACGTCACATCATGGGAGAGGTAATCTGAACAGTGTCATGATTTCAGTCCAATATGTCATAACCATAAATGAGTACTTTATCACAGGATAAAGTACAGTCAACGATTCGATTGTTTAGCGAAGCTGGTTAGAATGTGAAACTGTTTTACACTGCGCTCAGCAATATTCCAGCTACATGGCAGCAGCCTGTAAATAATTGAGTCTGGAGTCTGGACCAGACAGTCCAGTGATCTACACAATTGGGATACAATGACATGTGTCAACCAAGTCAGTCAGCCTGACCACCCAAGCCGTTAGTCGCCTCTTACAACAAACATGGGTTGATAAAAGACCAGTTTGAACCCAGACCTTCACAGGTATTGTGAGACAGAAGTGAGTTGAATCATTTAAATTTTTTAAAGAAACCCGTAATCAGCATCTTGGGACCTTGGCTTCTTATTAAAACAAGGGGCGGTGGGGTAGCCTAGTGGTTAAAGCGTTGGCTCATTAGCCATAGACCCCGGTTCGAATCCCCACATGGGTGAAGCTCATTTCTGGTGTCCCCCGCCGTGATGTTGCTGGAATATTGCTTAAAAGCGTCGTAAAACCAAACTCAGTCAGTCAGTATTAAAACCATATTCATCATACCACTAAACAATATGAAGCTTAATGATGTCTTGCTATGCAAGTTCTGCCTTTTAAATGAGGAACTGGTCATGCCTCCTACAAGATGAAGTTTGTACAACTGTTGTAGCCACCACAGGGGATCGTAGAACAAAACATAACATCAAAGTATATACTGCCACTGATGGGACCGCCTCCGTGGTGTAGTGGTTAGAGCATCCGCCCGGAGAGCAGAAGGTCGTGGGTTCGATCCCCGACCGCGTCATACCAAAAGACGTTAAAATATGGTACTTGTTGGTCCCTGCCTGGCGCTCGGCATTAATGGGTACAACAAGGACTGGTCGGCTCGGAGTCAGTATAATGTGTCTGAGTGGGGTATTCATGCTTACTGCGGCATGGTATCTCAGTGGGCTAGCACTATAAAACCAGCTTCAGTCTGGGCTAGCACAAGCAGCCGCACATACACATACACACGCATGCACGTCGTCATATGAGCGAAATATTCTCAAGCACGACGTTAAACCCAAATTCACCTCACCTCACCTCACTGCCACTGATGGGGTCTTAGCATTACATAAAAATACAAGTTACTTCTAAGCTTACCTCTCTCTCCTCCTCTTCAGCCTGCGTCTGCCTCTTCCCTGCTGCATCCCTGCCCGTGGTGTACACCTACATCAATACAGTCAGTGAGGTACAGTGAGTCAGTGAGTTTAGTTTTACGCCGCACTCAGTAATATTCCAGCTATATGGCGGTGGCCTGTAAATAATCGAGTCTGGACCAGACAATCCAGCATAGTCGCCTTTTGTGGCAAGCATGGGTTGCTGAAGACCTATTCTACCCCGGATCTTCATGGGTCCAGTGAAGTAGAGGGTCATGTGTGTAACGTCATTATTTACTTGTGGGAATTCAAGGCTCGAAGAGGTTTCTAGTAACCTATTCTGGTTGTTAGAGGAGACCTAAAGGATTGGTGGTTAGGCTTGTTGGCTTGATGTACTATGTCATCATGCCTAGACAGCGGGGAATGTTCCTCAGTGCATGGATTATTTGGTACAGACTCAGCTATTCACAGGTTGCTGTCATGTGGCAATGTTCCAGCTATATGGCGACGGTCTGTTGATAATCGGATCTGGACCAGACAATCCAGTATTCAACAGCATTGATCTACGCAGTTGGGATACGATGACGTGTCAACCAAGTCAGTGAGCCTGATCACCCAATCCCATTAGTTGCCTTTTACAAATAAGGGTTGCTTATGACCAATTTCAACCTTGATCTTCACAGGTATCTCAGAAAGGAACGAAGTCAGAGCAGACACATGTTATGGAGTTTTAATATATAACAGTCAGATATATTCAAGTTGTATAACAATGGCTGGGAATAATCACATCTGGAGCAGACAATCCAGTGATTGATAATATGAGCAACCATCCACAGAATCCTAAGTTTCTGAGCCTATATTGCTGACCATCCAGGAATACCCAGTGTCAGATGGGTGGTAATAACAAAACATGTTGCTTGGAGTGGTAGGTTAAAAAAAGCAACAGTCATTCAAATCTTGAGGAATACTATTTTCAAGACAACACACCATATTCAGAAAAATGGCATCATTCAGTGTATAACAAAACACTGACATGTGTTAAAATACTATTTTCATAACAACAGAACATATCTAAAAGAAATGGAATTATTCAGTGCGACACAAAACACTGATGCATTATTAAAATACTATTTTCACAACAACAAATCATATCCAGAAAAAATGGCACCATTCAGTGCATCCCAAAACACAAGTTCATATTCAAAGTATCACCAAAAACATTTTGTTAAACAATAATATGTATTATAAATACTCCTGTTCAAGTATTATACAAATCAGTATTATATTTTGTTGAATTTCAAGTTAATGCAGGGGAATGAAAGGAAGCCATATACAACAATAGACGTCTGCCGTTAACATGATCAGACTTGAACTGTCAGTACTCACCTTCCTCATAGTCTCCGGGGAGCTCACTCCGATGGGACTAGCTCGGACTGGGGAGGTGCCAGAACTTCGGAGATGGTTGGACGGGGAGGCTGAGTGCGATCTCCTCTCACGTTCCATCTCTTGCCGTATTCTCGCCGTCTCTCGCTCGATCTCACGACAAGTCTCATCAACACTGTCCTCCTCGTACACACTCACAATTCTCTTCTCAGGCCTGAGCAAGACAAATATCAAATTTAATTCATCATTTAATGTTTAGCTTGATGACAGGTGCACTTATCACCACCTACGTCAACTCCTGAAGTGAGTTCACAGACGGGGCTATTGTTTGTTCATTGCTGGTCTATTGCCGACACCAACAAGGCATAATCACGTCTTCTCCTAAACACACGGATTAAGTGCTTGTTGATACAAAGCTGATAACTTCCAATATGATATTGGCCGGTGTTAATAGAAGACCAGTTCTTGTGAATAGTGTAGGGAACACAGTTTATAGAAGGTATAAACATTGACTCAGGACAATCTCAGGAATACAGGCATCAAAGACAGAGAGTGTATCACTGGTTTCTATCAAGAGGCAAGAATCCTTATAAACTCCACAGATGTTAAATTTGTTATGTTTAAGACGTGCATTTAACCAATAATAATAATATTTGTTTATTGCTTATCACAACACTGTTGTAGAAGACTGTAGATTAAGTCTGGACCAGAGGATCAAATATTGAAACAAAGTTGAAAGCAATAGCTTAATTAATTTAGCTAATAAAAATAAATGAATTAAAAATATCAATGAAACCAAATAATGACCTTTTATTCAATGTAACATGTTTCTCAGGAACATTTTTCTCAAAAGATAGAGTGAGTGAGTATGGTTTTATGCAACTTTTAGCAATATTCCATCAATTTCATGGTGGGATGGGCTTCACACATTGTATCCATGTGGGGAATCGAACCCAGGTTGTCTTTGTAATGACTGAACACTTTAACCACTAGGCTACCCCACCACCCCTTAAAAGACGGAGGAGGGAGGTAGGAGAGTTATGCTGTTTTACTGAAAAAAACCCCCAACCAGATGAGGGACGAGCAACAGAGATACCAGCAAACAATTGTCAGAAAGTCTTTAACAACTTATGGTTTTCAGTAATGAACAACAAGGTCTGCTTGGTATGGTATGGGAAATTTGAAAAATATTTGTCTTATTGGCACTTAACATAATGCAATATTTACAATATTATGAACGCTTGGTAATACTTAACATTAAAGATGATATGTATTTTTAAGGAAACATTATTAACTGAAGCTTTGACAGAGGAAAAGTAAATATTTCAAAAGAACAGATCTCCAAAAAGTCAGAGTAATGACCATATAACATTTTCAATATGGCTCCTATGGCAGTAAAATTAAAGAGCTGCCAAAGTTGCAAAAAACTTAAGCATGAATACGGATGCATACACACATGCACACACACAGGCACAGAGCCAGCCAGCCACAGGCAGATGGACAGACACACATGCACACACACAGACACAGACACACACACACACACGTATACAAATACAAACACACAAACAAGCAAATGATGAATGGATACCTGATGGATAAATGAGATGTGACACAATAAGCTCACTTGAACTAACAGTTCATATGAGATAATACCTCAAGTCACTATTACTTTAATCCAAACTGTATTTTCACTATTCAAATACCTGAATGCATATTGTTCATCCACGTCAGCAATACCGCTCTAGATGCAACAGTAGCCAGTCATGTGACATATCACATATTGTATCCTAATCAGGGTAAATACAATATAAGGTGATAACCAACACTGGTCACCATGTTACATTTACCCTGTACGCTATGTCATCAGCCTGCATTGTGCATCCCCTCTAATTATGTTCCCCGACAAAAATGTCAAAATCTCTCACCTCCCCAAATCAACCTTCTGCAAACATCCATAACAACAAGCTCAAGAATATTTTCTCTGACATGAAATGTACAGGATATCTACGCCAGTTTTCCAGCTGAGCAGTCACTGATAAAGAGGTAAAAAGTCAATCAAAGTCTCGTCAATCTCATCATTGGCAGCACATACACATGTCAAGGGGGTTGTATACATGGTGGTCATTCACCAGCACAGGCCACGCCCTTGTAAGGCCATGTTATTCACTGTGTCGATAACCATGAGATTATAACCCCTGACCTATTCACTGTTATCTATTGATATATACACTATCTAATTACCATAGTGTTGGTACCAGCATTGGTTTATGTCTATGGTGCTCAGAACAAGGCCATTGTCATGGTAATGCATTATCGCTGGGTAACAAAAGAGTGAAATCTATATCTCTATTAAGAAAATTGATATTGATAGCATTTGATTTACGTTATCTCTACAAGATAAGCTTGTTTGAGCAGTGCCTTGGTTCCCCAAACAATCAGCTTTCATGCACTAGTGAGTCCTGTTCTTAAGATGGTCCAGGTATAAGCTTATTATGTGAAATACTCATTGGACTGATCGGTGGATAGATCTGATCTATGTAGGATATGATCTGATCTATGTAGGATATGATCTGATCTATGTAGGATATGATCTGATCTATGTAGGATATGATCTGATGTACGACACAAAGGCAGGGCACAGATATATCGTACAACACAGATTTATGGCAGGATGTGAATTTACAGTAGGCCACAGATCCAAAGTAGGCCACAGATCCATGGTAGGTCACAGATCCATGGCAGGTCACAGATCCATGGCAGGTCACAGATCCATGGTAGGTCACAGATCCATGGTAGAACACAGATCCATGGTAGGTCACAGATTCATGGTAGGACACAGATCCATGGTAGGACACAGATCCATGGTAGGACACAGATCCATGGGAGGACACAGATCCATGGGAGGACACAGATCCATGGTAGGACACAGATCCATGGTAGGTCACAGATTCATGGTAGGTCACAGATCCATGGTAGGTCACAGATTCATGGTAGGACACAGATCCATGGTAGGTCACAGATCCATGGTAGGACACAGATCCATGGGAGGACACAGATCCATGGTAGGACACAGATCCATGGCAGGTCACAGATCCATGGCAGGTCACAGATCCATGGGAGGACACAGATCCATGGCAGGTCACAGATCCATGGCAGGACACAGATCCATGGTAGGACACTGATCCATGCCAAGGCTAAGATCTCTTATCAAGACACAGATCTATGACAGCATAGATCCATGGTAGGACTAGGATCAATTCCAGGCTTATGAATACCTCCGATCTACAGTAGATTGTTCAACTGAATGTTCACAAATTGAAAGAGTAATCATAAACTAAGTGAACATGTTTTGCGTACAAAAGAAAGATTTGCATGAAGAAATGTTTTTCCTAAAATTATACCATGAATCCTTTGACACCAGAATAACAGACTTACCGATCTTACAGGTACTTGTTGGAGACATAGTTGTTCCAACCTTGGTATAAATGACACTTTTTGTATCTCACAAAAACCTACTGAATAATCCTTCACTGCTTCCACATGCTTCTGTTGTCTTCAGTTGTTGTCCTCCATCGTAATCACAGACATCAATCCCTTTATGGGAGTTCCAATCATGATTCAAGAAAGAAACATTATGTGTATACGAGTAAGTGATTAGTTTGCGCTTTAATGCTGCACAGAAATATTTCAGCTAAATGGCGGTTGAGTGAGTGAGTGATTTATTTGTTTTTTAACGCCACGCTCAGCAGTATTCCAGCTATATTGGCGGCAGTCAAGTGAGTGAGTGAGTGAGCGAGTGAAACTTAATTTGAATCCCCCACTTAACAGTATTCCATGGCATGTCAACTTAATGTGGGAGGATAGCAAGAAGTGCTACAGGTCTTACACATTTACCACTGTTCATGCTGACAAACTGAGTAATAGTATTGTGCTCAAACCAGGATTGGAACCTACAATCATAGCTTCCTGGCTTATCCAAGGGAGGCAACTATGACACCTTAAGTGAGCGATTGTTTTACAAGTGTCACATTTAGCAATATCATGGCAGGTGACAGCAAAAGTCGTCTTCACACATTGTTGTGGGAAGGTGAACCAGTTAAATTGTCATTAAAACATCTTGCTTGATTTATTTCAGGGTATACAGACAGCTAACAAACAAAAACCATTTTCCGCATTTTTTATCACTACCACTATGAGAAACTGAAGCATACAAAATAAAACAATTCCTCACACAATAAAATGAATCTGATTCAATCTTTTTTCTCATTGACTGATCTTTTTAATATAGAAAACCAATTACCAGAGATATTTAGAGAAAGTTTCCATAAGGATGCCTGGAACAGAATTAGAGATTTCATTCTGAACCTGTTAATAGAGATAACCTCAAGTTGTCAGTGAGGTCTTAGTTGCTATGACAACAGTTTGTTGTTTAAGCTATATTTCAGCTGTATGACAGTGGTCTGTCAATAATCGTGTCTTGGTTTGGTTTGTTGTTTCATGCTGCACTCTTTTATGGCAGCAATCTGTAAATAATTGAGTCTAGACCAGACAATCCAGTGATCAACAGTATAATGAGCATCAACCTGTGCAATAAGGATACGAAAACATGTGTCAACCAAGTCAGCGAGTCTGACCACCCGATCCCATTGGTTGCCTCTTACGACAAGCATGTGTTGCTGAAGACCAATTCTAACCCACATCTCCACGGGTGATTATTACATGATGCATTTAGTGGAAATATTAAACACACAGCACAATACCTAGAAAAATATCACTCTTGTCCCTAATAATCGTGTTTATTGATAAAATCTGTCACAGATTCTGATATTTGGCCTCAGGTGTGTATTTATTTTAACCATTCATTTTACCTGTTTTCTTATTACATTCAGAAATTTATCATAAATGGACCTTATAACTTGGGCAACATATTTGACAGACAGACTGATATATTTCAGTATAAGGCCACTGGCCAAAAATACATTTATACACACGAAATAGATATACAGTCAGGCCTCGTTAATACGAACACTTTGGTTTCTGTAAAAAAACGTTTGGATAGTGAAACGTTCGTACTGCTGAAACCACAGTATATGCACCGAGTTACTTCCCCTTGATATCAAAGAAATCAAAACAAAACATCAAAGACAATCACTGGATTTATTACACATTGTTTCACTCACACATTTTACTTACGAAAGTAGTCTTTAATGG